GCACCTTCAGAAAGCTGTATTGTACTGAATCACTGAAATCAGTTTTTAGTAATAATATTCAGTTGAAATTAACTCTGCAGTTAAAGATATCTAAAAAAGATCAGAATTGTTAAACTGGTGAACTTTCTATAAACTTTCAATATCTTTCATGTTTACATTATGGGTAAGAGAATACAATTTCTTGCACCATTTAAAATCCATTGTTTAAATGTATTATAAGAAGATTAGGTCTAAATTTTGAATCAAATGCACAGCATTAATTTATCATCTAGTTTTTGTTTTCATTTTACATCCTGGCCTTATATTTTTAAATGAGTTATGATCCATAGATCTAGAAATTATTTTGATATGTTCATCCAAATTGTTATGAGCTAGAATGAAATGAAATGGAGGATGCTTCAATAGTGAGATTTCTATATTTTTCCATCTAGCGATAAATCCTAATGAGCACCTATTGTTTAGTGGTTTGATCCGAGCTGCAGTAAAGTAAAGTACAGTAACATTACACCTCTTCTTCTCTTAAAAGCTGTAGTGTTTGAAATGTCAACCTAGGCCTTCTACTTCACCAAATAAATCTAAAAAAACTTTTTTGGTATTTTTGAAAATCCTCTCTGGGAGACCACTACTGAAAGCGCCTGAAACAAGAGCAGATAATGCTGAATCACATTTATTACAATTTATTCTCCTTATTTTATCTCCGTAAGGATTTTTTTACACATCACATTTGTTGTTTGTTCTGATATTGATTCAAAATGTGTGTGATGGAAACCAATGTGAAATTGCTTGCCTGTGTATGAAAACCTGACCAGTAGAGCAGATTCTGATTCTTAGCGCACCATTTTGCCGATGCAGATTACACTGTTGGAGGTAGAGGAATGGTTATTCAATATCTCGACATACTCTTGCTAGCTCACACAAACATTGGAATGGAAAAGTCAGTTTTACACCTTTAAGTGTGAATAATCATACAATTCCAGGGGGTCAGAGAGTCATAAGCTGTGGAAAGGCTGTGGTGTGGAAACCAAAGAGCTCCGTTCGATGCTTGCTGTCTGGTAAATAAAAAAACTCTCAATCTGAATGAAGCTATATATAAGCTATGCTTTAATGCAGCACCATCAGTACCCAGCATACTAATTATATGAGAGCTCGAGGCCCTGGAATTTGCAATCAGGTCTGAGTCATATAACTCACCTTTAACATGGCTAAAGTAGTAGTAGGTGGGTGGCCAGTCCCCTGCGTATTGTTTAAAGTTTATTCCTGACAGTGTGGAAGGCTTCAGTGTAAATGAACAGAGTACATTACTGTTCTTATTTTAGCCTCCAAGCAATCTTCTGACATCAAAGCCGTTAAAATGCAGATCCATGCACAGATTTAACATGCAAACCACCAACACATGTCAGTCTCTCTTTTGGACCAGAACACCGGTCAAAGACATCAGTCACTGTGAACGGTAAATGCACAGCCGTGAGGAGTGGACAGGGTAAGACAGCTGCTCCTGTGACTCACTGGAGAGGCCTTTCATCACACTGCCTCTAAAGGAATAGTGTGCGTGTGTTTATCTACAAGCCTGTTAAATGGTTGCGTGGATGTAGGTGGATTAGGACCATCTGTTAACAGTGTGGGGACTTATCTAAACAGTGAGACTGACATTTTCCGACGCTTGTACCTTCAGTTTTAATTTAGCTTTGGTATTTTTCTGATTTATTTATAATGCAAAATTGGAAAGTAATAAACATCTGGAAGGTAGTAAAAGGACAATTTAACTTTATAACACAGGCATTTCACTCCGACTTTGAATTTTATGTTACTTGAAAAATATGTTTGTTAGTTTATATAAATTCTTAGATTAGTATAAGCCTCAGCAACAGTGTCTAGATTAAAGTCTCAGTAAAGGAGATGGTATGAAGTCAGCACTTTTAGGCAAACATGTAGCATTTTTAGGTTGATCTAGTGTGTTTCTGTTACCATTTCCTTTGTTGCCCATTGCAACTGAATATTATTACCCCTTTATTTTAATTATGAGCTTTTGTATATAAAGATTAAATGTTTTCAAAGCAAATTTCCACTGTTTGTAAGAGCTACTGTTAGATATTTACAAAATTAAAAAATAACCCCAAAACAGAATTATGTTAGTTTTGCTATAACATGTATGCATTCAATTCTGACAGGTTTTTAATCACTTATTTATTAAATTTTGTTTTTAAGCCTATGTTTTTACTCTAAAGAGTTGGTTTAACACTTTGCAACCTTTAGACTGGCTGGTTATGATTAATTTTTCCATGGCACTCCTGTTTGAAGGAGGCAATAATAAAAGAGCTTTTTTTCATCTAACAGAACACTCTTAGTTCCCACTCTCTTGGCACTGGTCAGTGAACGCATTCACACAGTGGGCAAACTTTTCCACAGCTGTTAAGTGGTAAATCTGAGGGGAGTGGAAGGTAACACAGGAACACTAATGGATTTAACATATTCAAACAGAAACTTCGAGACTCGTATTTTGTTATCAGGCCTGGAAACCAAAACATGTTCACTGATATCATTAAAATTTCCTTAGAGTACAATAGACTGTAAACAGGAAAGTTTATAAAAATGCTCTTATGAGCCTTAGAATGTCAAACAGGCTTGATTTTTTCATCTATCAAAAATATTATATTTTTCGTTCACACTCACTGGAGGCCTGTTTCATGACAGAACCATAAAAACATAAAATCTGAAAAATGCTTTGGAAGCAAATCTGTTGTTTTAATGGATTCTTTCTTTCTTTCTTTCTTTCTTTCTTTCTTTCTTTCTTTCTTTCTTTCTTTCTTTCTTTCTTTCTTTCTTTCTTTCTTTCTTTCTTTCTT